GCCCTTTGGGAGGCCCAGACGGGCAGATTGCTTGAACCCAGGAGTTCAAGACCAGACTGGGCAACATGGTGAAAACTTGTCTCAAAAAAAACACAAAAATTAGCTGGGCGTGGTGGCACGCACCCATAGTCCCAGCTACTCGGGAGGCTGAGGTGGGAGGATCCATTGAGCCCAAGAGGTTGAGACCACAATGAATCATGCTTGTGCCACTCCGCCCCAGCTTGGGAAACAGAGCAAAATCCTGTCAAAAAAACAAAAACAAAAAACACTTAATAAGGAAATTCTATCTCCTCCAGGAAATAAATAAAATTGAGCTAAGTTTCATTTGCCCTTTTTCTTTTGCAGTTTGGAACATTTTGTTGGACTCTGATGTACTTACAGGAACACGCACAAATCACAAAAACTCAGCTCAGTGAATTTCTACAGAGCGAATCCACTCTGGCCCCAGGCACCCAGACCGAGACCAGAACTTCACTCACTGCCTCATGCCCTTCCCAGCAAACCTTCCACCCAAGGTAAACACTTGCAAGGAGCCTCATGGATGTGTTCTTTGTATCCGAGTCCTTTTCCTCAATATTAAGTCTCTATGTAGTTATTCTTTCTCACTGTATGACATTCCGTTGTCTACTGTTGACAGATATTTGGAGAGTTTCTTGCAGTTGGCTATTACAAATACACTGCCTTCATTTGCCTTTTGTGAATAACATTGACGGGAGAGCATTTTAAAGTAGGAGAATGGGTAAAATGGATGAAAACAGGCATGCATATTAAATGTACATGCAGGTATCAATTAATTAGCCTCCATTTACCTACTTGGCTTAAGATGCAGAATTTGAGGGAAAAAAGGAACCACAGGCCATTATGAGAAGTAAATCAGATGAAGTCAAAACAAACAAACAACAAAAAACTATTTAAAACAGCTCTCAAAGAATGTCTAGGACATGTACACCACATTGTCTTTTCACTAAACTGTGCCTAATTAAAAATAATTATTCGAAGCCTAGAGCAGTGGCTCACGCCTGTAATTCCAGCACTTTGAGAGGCCAAGGCAGGCGGATCATGAGGTCAGGAGTTCGAGACTAGCCTGACCAACAAGGTGAAACCCCGTCTCTACTAAAAATACAAAAATAAAAACAAATTAGCAGGTGGTGGCACATGCCTGTAATCCCAGCTACTCAGGAGGCTGAGACAGGAGAATCACTTGAACTCAGGAGGCAGAGGTTGCAGTGAGCTGAGATTGCACCATTGCCCTCCAGCCTGGGCAACAGAGTGAGACTCCATCTCAAAAAAAGAAAAATAATAGTAATTATTATTATTATTCAAAACACGGTGCTAGCCAAAGACATCCTCTGCAGCTTTGCAGATCTCTTTCTGTCCAGATGAAAGTAATAAATAGTCTTTGAGGCTAGTTTGGCCCAACTAGTTTGAAGAACATCATTCCCCAGCACATGGGAAGGGTTTTATACAAAACACTCCCGTGGTCAACTGGTTGGAAATGTTAGGTTTGCCAATGTATTTATTTACTGCAGAGCCTCTTAGAGACTCATGTGCAGTGATCATGGACACTGTGTGCAAGTCTTCAGGCAGGAAATATGCTATACAGTGTTTCCCAAGTCATCTCACCTGAGGACCTCTTTTCAAATGGAGCATCTTTTTTTTTTTTTGAGACAGAGTCTCATTCTGTCGCCCAGGCTGGAGTGCAATGCTGTGATCTTGGCTCACCGCAACCTCCACCTTCCAGGTTCAAGTGATTCTCGTACCTCAGCCTCCTGAGTAGCTGGGATTACAGGCACATGCCAGCTGATTTTTTGTATTTTTAGTAGAGGCAGGGTTTTCCCATGTTGGCCAGGCTGGTCTCAAACTCCTGGCCTCATGTGATCCTCCAGCCTCGGCCTCCAAATTGTTGGAATTATACACATGAGCCCCCGCCCCTAGCCAAATGGAGCATCGTTTGGGACTCTATGCCACAGAACACACCTGGAGAAATAGTGTCTGGATGCACTCACTCATGCCCCAAGCTTTCAGTGCATAATAGATACAGCGGATACCAAGATAAGCATGACACCATCCCCAGTCTTAAGAAGGTCGTGAATTAATAAAGTCTAGGGCCTCCTAAAGGAGGACAAGAAAAGAAAAAGACATTAGAGTGTCCTGAGGGCCTAATATGTACTAGGACTCAACTAGCCATTGCATTAGTGTGGGGGGGCTGCCATAACAAAACACCACAGATGGGCAGGGGCGGGGGAGCTTAAACAACAGGAATCTATTTCCTCCCCGTTTTAGAGGCTGGAAGTCCTAGATCAGGGTGTTGGCAGGGCTGGTTTCTTCTAAGGCCTCTCTCCTTGGCTTGTAGACAGCCATTCTCTGCCTGTGTCTGCATAGGTCTTCTCTCTGTATCTGCCTGTCTCCTGATCTTTTCTTATCAGGACACCACTCAGATTGGATTAGGGCCCACCCTAATAACCTCATTTTACCTTAACTACCTCTTTAAAGACCTATCTCCAAATACAGTCATATTCCAAGGTACTGGGTATTAGGAATTCAACATAGGAATTCTGGGGTATGAGGATGCAATTCAACCAATGATAGGAATTTTACCTCACGCAATACACAAAATCAACCCAATGTCACTGTTCCTATTGCTCTTTTATAGCTCAGAGAAGGTTAGCACCACTGTGATAAGAAGGTGGAAAGGAACATAAATGTCTCCCCAAAGCCCAGTTTCTCAGCCTCCACAGCTAGTGCTCACGTGAGAAGATGTATTTCTATGCACAAAGATGATTTTATGGATGTTATGCAAAATATGAAAAAAAAACCCTGAATGCTTGTCGCTTCTGTAACAATTTAGAAATATACCCGATTCTTTGCACTTCTAATTGTACAGGAGTCATTGATGGTTAACGAGTCCTGTCAAATGTCCGATCAGATAGTGTCACTTTTTAGAACACATGAAATAATTTGGTCATTATTTCTAACTAAGTACCCAATTACAAAAGGACATTGCTGATGTCTCAAAATGAATATTTCCAAAATTTTGATACTGAGGTTACTTTAAACATCAAGCACCAAGTGAGCTGTTCCAAGATTCTAAGAGCCCAGAACACATAAAGGACACAGCAGGCTCTCCACTGCCACCATTTCACTGAGTCTGTTCCCGTGGACCCCACACTATGAGCAGCCACAGCAAACTTCCCAGGCTGGAGCCTCTGCCTTCTCCCCCAGTCACGCGTGTCCCTGTCAACAGTACGGGCCTCCCAGCAATTAGTTCATGTCTTCCCACACCATCCCTAACCACTGGGCAACACCCCTTGGAAAGGCCTTGGTGAAGCCCCGGGCGTTCAGCCATCTAAAGCAAAGAGGCAGCAGCAGCCCCCACTCTCAACAGACAGATGTCTCTTTAGACACAGAGATGTCGCAGAGAGGGAGTCTGGCCAACAGAATTGCAGACAAACCTGCAGGTCCCCTGCTCTGCCACAGACTAGCAGACTAGTCATGTGGCATGGACCAAACCACCTCCCTCTCTGAGGCTCCAGTCCCCATCTGTGAATGGAGATGATTGTCGGGAAGGTTCATGAGATAGAAGACAAAGTGTAAGGAGTGTCAGGCCAGGCTCATGACAGTGGGAGACACTGCTGTGAATATCACCATTATTAGCTAAACTACAATGGGAAATAAAACTTCAGTCTTTGATAACTGCCCAGAGGCAAGAGCGGTCTCGGTGGGGTGCTGAGAGAAGGGCGTGAGGGCAGGCTAGTGTGTACAGCCAGCAGGGCTACTTTAAGTGAGACCTTGCCTACTGCAGAAGCCTTCACCTGTCAGGCTGGATGCTTGGCCCTAAGGCAGCCTAGGGATACAGCTCCAGATCGCAACCCACCAGTCTCAGTCCAGGCAGGGACTCAGCTCAGGCCATGAAGGCACCTCACACACCACGCAGGCCAGCCCTGGAGCCTCCACCACCTTGCAGCCAAGAGACCTGCCAAGAGTTGAGACATCTGCAAAATGAAACAAAGCAAAGCAAAACAAAACTTGGGCAAGTGACCCTTAAAACAAAATAAGCGCCTGGGGTCTGGGGACGCCTAGAGAGGAGAGAAGAAACCGGTGACTTAGATGTCCAGAGTGAGGACTCTAGAATCAAAGCCATCGGGTTCACAACCCGGCTCTGAAGCATCCAATCTGCCCGGTCCGGCCATGGAAGGAAGCATTCGCACCTCTCTGACCTCTGGATTCCTCCTTCGCAAGGTGGGATCCGGACCAGGTGAGACAGGCACCTGGGGTGCAACATTTAAGGAGGCACCCACTCTCGGGGTTGTGCTGGTGGAGAGTCAGGCCTGAGAGTGAGCGCTTCCTTAAGTTCTGGACCTCAGGTTCCCTGCTGGCCTCACCCTGGCCCTGGCCTGGATGGGAAGAGCCTGGGGCACAGGGAGGTTGAGTAGGACTAGGAGAAACCCGCAAAGCTCAGCAGAGTGCCTGAGATAGGACCGGCCCGCAATGAAAATTATAACACTGCGGGCTCGCCACCCATTAAGCTCCTGAAAACAGACTCCAGCCTCCCGCAGACCTCTCCCAGTCCAATCCTCTCCAGAGTTGACCTGAAGAACGTTTCTAGCAGCCTGGAACTAGAACTTCACCAAAACTGGGTTCCTTCCTCCCCACACCCGCTGTTCCATCTCCCAGGGGTGGTGGCGGAGCTACCGAGGCGGCTGTGGACAGCGGGCGCCCCCGGGACGCGCAGGGCCACGCGCTCGAGGCCCTTCCGTGCGCCCCGCAGGCTCCGTGCCCCTGGACAACTCCAGCTGCCCGGTTCATCCTTTTCAGCACGCTGCCTGAGATCAAACGGACCAGAGGTGAATGCCTGAAACAGAGTGGCTGTTTGGGCACATAGGTCTTCATTTTCCAAATTAATAAATATATCGTTGTAAGCTAAAGTTTCCAAATAATAACAGTACTAACAATACTAAGCTAATCGAAAGGAATAGCTCAACAGGGTAACGCCGGCTTACCGGCGTCCAGAAACAGTTGAAAGGCGTTTGTCCCACAACATTTGGGAAGCGAACACTGCACCGCGTACTCGCTGGTTCTGGGCTTCCGGGTGACCGCTGTTTCCGTTCCCACCGATCCCCTCCCGCTGCGCCTCGTCTGGGTCCGCTAAGAGTGGAATTCGCCGTTCCCGGACTCCAGGCGGCCAGGAACGCGCCGCGCGGGCCGCGTCGCCCTCCCCTCGGGCCCGCGCATCCTTGGGGAACGGCCTCGGGAGCGCGCTGCGGGTGGTGGTGCAGGGTGGAGCCCCCTGCCCCTTCTCCTCCCACTTCCCGGGACGCAAGGGCGCGGGGGCCCTGATCCGCCGCCAGGTGGCGCTACGGGCCCAGCCACCGCGCTCCAGGGCCTCGTGGGCTCCGCTCCCGTGACTGACATGCGGGGGCTCCGCGGGGCGCCGGCTGGGGGCGCGGGCCGGGGACATGGTCTGGGGGCGCTGCGGAGGAGGCACTGCGGGGGCGCGGGCGGGAACGCGGGTTGAGGGCGCTTCGGAGGGCGCGCATCGGAGGGGGCGCTTCGGAGGGGGCGCTTCGGGGACGCGAGCTGGGGGCGCCGCGGAGGGGGCGCCGCGTGGGGGGGCGCTTTGGGGGGGCGCGGGCGCCCGGTCCTCCTCTGTGGGCCACTCGGCGGCAGCCGACCGTGGAGTCTGGGCCTGGGAGGGTGACCTGATCCTTTGCTCTTTCAAGAGAAGCCAGAAAGCTAGATTTGTGTTTGAAATGTTGGCAATTGGTGTACTTTAAATGTTAAGGGAAGTTCCTTTTCTAACAGGGGTCGGGCTGTCTCTGCGGAAAGCCGGCGGGAGACACCACAACGCCGAGGCCGCCCAGAGCCAGGGGCCTTGAGGCTGTCGGGACCCAGGAACTCCCCAGGACGCGGATCTCCACGGGCACCCCAGGCGTAGGGGGCGACCCGGCACCAGGGCCTGGCATCTCTACCTGCCAGCTCCACCCCTGCCCCGGAACCCCATGCCCGCCACGACTGACTTCCTAATGTTCTTCATGGCTGAAACACTTAATTGTAAAACCTTGTTCTAGTGCAAAATTTTAAACATATATAAGTAGAAAGAATCACAAACTGGTCGGGCGCAGTGGCTCACGCCTGCAATCCCAGCACTTTGGAAGGCGGAGGTGGGTGGATTACTTGAGGTGGAAAGTTCGAGACCAGCCTGGCCTACATGGTGAAACCCCGTCTCTACTACAAATGCAAAAATTAGCTGGGCATGGTGGCACGGTCCTGCAATCCCAGCTGCTGGGGAGGCGGAGGCAGGAGACGGAGGTTGCAGTGAGCGGAGATCGAATCACTGCACTCCAGCTTGGGCAACAGAGAGCGACTCCATCTCAAAAAAAGAAAAGAAAAGAAAATACACAAACCCCGTGTACCTATCACCTAGCTTCAGAGACTGATGTTCATAGCTAGGTGTCACCTATTAACCCCTGCCCCCAGGACACTTCAGCCACACTGTACCCCACCCCTGAGGGGTTATTTTGGAGCAAATGTGAGAAATCATCTCTCTTCCTCCATAAATATTCCAGGGTGTGTCACTAACAGATAAAGACTCTTTTTAATATAACAATGCCGTTGCCACACTAATAATACAATCATCACACCAAAAAGTATTTCGTGGATGCCATCAAATTTCAATGTTCAAATTTCTCCAACTGCTTCATAAACGTGTAGTTAACAGTTGATTTTTCCAATTCAAGTCCCAATAAGCCTCATAAATTGTATCTGGTTGGTTTTTAAAGTTTCTTTAATTAAGGTAAAAAATGTACGCATAGTAAAATGAACAGATCTGAAGTGTATAGTTCTAAGAGTTTTGGCAAATGTGAACCACCTGTGTGATCAACACATCAGTCAAAACGTGGAAGTTTCTATCACCTCTGAAAATTCCCTCCCCTATCCCCGTCAACCCAGCCCAGAGGAAACAGCTGATCTGGTTTCTATTATCACAGAATACTTTTGCCTGTTTTGGAAATTTACATAAATAGAATTAAACAATATATTCTTTTATCTGCCACACTTCTTTCACCCTATATAATGTTTTTGAGATTCATCCACAGTGTTGCACATACCAATATTATGTGCATGTAATTTTTGTTCATTCCTTTGTAGTATTTCACCATCTGAATATAATGCAATTTATTTTGTCATTTATTCTGTTAGGAAATATCCTGTTGATAGCTATTCGGATTGTTCCCAAGTTTTGGATAGAGTGAGTAAAGTTGCTTATCCAAGTCTCTTGTGGCAACATGCCTTCATTTTCTCTTCCGCAAAGGCCTCATAGTGGAATTGCTGGATCACAGGAAAGATGTCTATTTAACTTTGTAAGAAACTGCCTAGAGTTTTCGCAGCACAGTTTTACCATTAATGTTCCCACCAGCCAAGTACGAGAGTTTCACTGGCCCCACCTCCTCCCCATTTGCTGTTTGCTGTCTATTTTGTCTGAACCATCAAGGTGGGTGTGACTTTCTAATTGTGGGTTTAAAAGGCATTTCCCTGATGTGATGGGAATGAGTTGTTTTTATTTCTCTGAAAGTGCCTTTATTTCACCCTTATTTTAACAAGACATGTTTGTTGGTGCATTAGTCTGTTTTCATGCTGTTAATAAAGACATACCTGAGACTCAGTAATTTGTAAAGAAAAAGAGGTTTAATGGACTCAGTTCCACATGGCTGGGGAGGTCTCACAACTATGGGAGAAGGCAGAAGGCAAAAGGCATTCTTGCATGGCAGCAAGGCAAGACAGAATGAGAACCAAGCGAAAGGGGTTTCCCCTTATAAAACCATCAGATCTCGTGAGACTTACTCACTACCAGGAGAACAGTATGGGGGAAACCACCCCCATGATTCAATTAACTCCCACTGGGTCCCTCCCACAACACGTGGGAATTATGGGAGCTGCAATTCAAGATGAGATTTGGGTGAAGACACAGCCAAACCATATCCCTTGTATATAAAAATCCAGGTGGGCAGATTTTTCTCTCAGTGGCTGTTTCCTGCAGAGTCTCCTTGCAGAGCCTTTCCTTGGACTTTCCAAATCCAGCCCTTGGCTAAGGACTGACAGCACCTCTCCGGCAGACCACTGCCTGCCCCTGCCCTGTGCAGCTTCCTCCCACACAGCCTCACCCACAAACCCACCTTTCTCCACAGTCACAAACTCCAGTCTCCGCCTTCTTAGAGCAAAGAGGCCATTCCTCTCCATGTGGTCTCACCTCCCTGCACCCTAACTGAAATCTGGGAGTGAGGGGAAGGAGGAGCTCAGGTTATATGCCTCCCTTCTCTCAAGGATCTCAGCCTTGTGCTGGCTGTAGTAGAATACCGGAAAAGTTCTGCCTAAGGTATGTTGTCCAGTTTTAAAGTTGTTGGTGGGAGGAAAGTGAGTCTAAGTCCTTTGATCTGCTTTAAAATATGTTGGTTTTTGGCCAGGCACGGTGGCTCATGCCTGTAATCCCAACACTTTGGGAGGCCAAGGTGGGCAGATCATTTGAGGTCAGGAGTTCAAGACCAACCTGGCCAACATGGTGAAACCCTGTCTCTACTAAAAATACAAAAATTAGCTGGGCACGGTGGCAGGTGCCTGTAATCCCAGCTGCTCCAGAGACTAAGGCAAGAGGATCGCTTGAACCTGGGAGGCAGAGGTTGCAGTGAGTTGAGATTGTGCCACTGCATTCTATCCTGAGTGACAGAGCAAGACTCCATCTTAAAATAACATTAAAAAGTTGGTTCCCTTGCCCTCTTTTTTTGTTTCCTTGCAGTGTTTTGAAGAAATCACATTCTTCATCCTGTAGAGTCACCCACATTCTGGATTTTGTTTACGATACTCCACTAGTGAAGTTTCCCAGTTTCCCTGTTCCCCGTGGTTCTTGTAAACTGGCAGATCCTGCAGGGTGATTTTTTTCCAGACTACTCAGAGACCAAGGTGGACACTTCCTGCAGGATGCATGCCATGTCCTGTCTCCTTTTGTGCTCTGAGCAGTCTTTGAGTTACACAATTGCCTAGATTTATTTTTTCATTAAGGCTGTACATAGTTATGATATTCTACATCCATTTTCCTTCTCCATTCATTTACTCAATACATCTATAGAGAGAAACTCCCTGAGGATCAACTGTGTGGTTACACTGGGGTCCAGTCCCAACACCATGAGCAGATGAAAGCTTGGTCCTGTCCCTTTTTTTGCCGAAATGGCTGATTTCCTTTTGTATTAGTCCATTCTTGCATTGCTATAAAGAAATACCTGAAACTGAGTAATTTATAAAGAAAAAGGGTTTAATTGACTCATGGTTGTGCTGCTTGTACAGGAAGCATAGCGGCTTCTGCTTCTGGGGAGGCCTCAGGAAGTTTCTACTCATGGCAGAAGGCAAAGGTGCAGCAAGGCACTTCCCATGGCTGAAGTAGGAGGAAGAGAAAGGGGCGATGCACCACACACTGTTTAACAACCAGATTTCAGGAGAGCTCACTATGCAATGACAGCACCAAGAGGGATGGTGTTCAACCATAAGAATCTGCACCAGTCACCACCTCCAACATGGGGGATGACAATTTGACATGAGATTTGGGCAGGGACACAGATCCAAACCATATCACCCTGCATGGTCCAAAGGTATATAATGAGCTTCTCTTCCTCCCTTCTTTCTTCCATTCTTCCTTTTTGAAAAGTATCATCATGAATTTGAGGAATTTAAACATATTTGATGTGTTTCCAATTATGGCAGACATTATTTTTACCGAAGATCGCAGCTTCCCAATGTTAAGCAGAGGAGGGTCTCTTCAGATTGGCTCCTGGGTCCTTCAGACATGATCACAGTAGGTTTTGTATTGTTTTGTTTTGTTTTGTTTTTTATAGCATCCTTGCTTGTTAATGTGACAAAATGTTCCAGGACCATCCTGTAGGTTTCCTGCTCTGCATCTGAAATCCACCATTTCTACAAGGAAACTTGACTTCTTTTAATGGAAAATGGTTTTCAAGGTCATAATCTAGAATGTAAGGACACTCATAACTATGGGGTAAATTCAAGGTCTCTTCAGTGGATATATAAGGAAATCTATTTTATTTTAAATTTTGAAAGATAATACACCATGACTTCATCCTGACATTCTCAGTACAGAATTTACTGAATACCATAAGGAATCAGACTCCATTTTTGATGTTTGATGTTTGATTGCTGGTGACTTTAAAGCCTCACCCTTCCCTCTCCCCACTCCCCAACCCCACATCTGCGCAAACTGATAAGCTTCAGCTTCCTGAAGCCACCAGCTCTCAACAGGCCCAGCCCTAACCACAAGCCAGATCCTTCCCTGCTCTCTCAGACCATTTCACACCCACCTGGGAGGCCTGTATGTTCGCTCAAAGAGCTCAATTATGTGAGTAATAATCCTGGCTAACAAGGTGAGACCCCATCTCTACCAAAAATACAGAAAATTAG